AATTACCTTTAACTGAATAAGTGATTAAAATAAGTTTTTCTATTTAAAATTTGGTTTTGGTTGGTTTTGATTAGGTTACTATATTATTAGAAAGAAAAAGTAATATTTCACAGAACTAAAATCTTATATATTATAAAATTTAACAGCTTCAATAAAGATTCTATTTTAAATCTAGAGATAGGAATCTATGACATTGCCAGTCTAACGGATAATACTGTTATTGGATATAAAGCTTCAATATCGATATATCGAAATTTAATTTATTTGGCAGGTGAGACAACAGACTCTTGATTTAGACGACTATCAAACATTCAGGCTGAAATTACTCAAAATTTGGCTAATTTATATGGGCTCATGTGTCGATCAATTTTTATGTGACTACGTAGTAAAAAAACCCTATTTTTTTTGACATAGTTAGGGTTAGTAAATAGCTAATACAGTAATAAGTAACCTGTATAAGAATTTACGATTCATGATTGTCGACTTATCACAAATAATAATTAACCAATCAAATTCCATTCAATATATAAATATTCGGGTTTGTCACATACTATTTTCAATATACGAATAAATGATTTATTATTATTAGTGAAGCATTAGTTTATTATATCCCGGTATTTTAAACAGTAATTCTATTTTATTTATCTATCGCGGGTTTCACTTCGACGGGTAAGTATCGTTTTCTCAATTGTTTTAGTTTCACCTTATTCTATTGCAACCTTACTAACACGCCCCTCTATTACTTCGGATTTCACCACCTTGAAACATCGCCGTCACGGTGTAATGCCTTCCCGAATTTGGCATAACCGCCTTGTCTTGTGTTCTTGGCGTGGGGGGGGGGGCCGATTATGCGTGTTTTGCTTTTTTGGGGGGTCGAAATGCATGTACGATTCGTGGGTCCCGATCGTCGTTCGTGCTACGTATCGTTGCGCACGAATCGTTACGTTTTTCTAGCCCGTGACAATACCTAACTCTAAGTCACTAGTAGAAGTTAAACCTATTTAGAGTCAGACAAAAACTACTTTGATTTCGTTGAAACTAAGAGTCGTGTCGATATAAACACGAAAACAATGCTGAAATTATTCTTGTATTTTTTTTTTTATAGATATTTGCTACATACTACACGTAGTTCCGTGTTTTTACGTAGTCTGCACACTGACATTGTTACTAGTAAAAGTCGCGCCATTTTAGGATTCAAATAGAGAAATTCAGATCGGAAACTAAAATATGAAGTTTCAAACTATATATAAAGGTTATGTTATTTTTACAAAGCACCAAATTTTAATGGTGTATTAAATAAATTAACCTCTAAGAGTGAAATTTGCAATAATCACATCGGAAATAGATCCACCCATATGAAATTCAAAAATCACACAAATCTCATGTGTGATTGGTTCAATTTTTATTTTCAATTTAAATAAGACAAAAAATCAGCCCAAAAACTTTCGATGACTAATCAAATACTGAGATCAGGTGTAACGTTAAAAATGTTAAAGATAAAAAGATAAAACAATCCAAAATCGTCCGCAAAAGAATCGTCATGAATGTTATGCCCAAAAATTATCGTGAAACAAATGCCCAGGATAGGGATAGGAATCAGCTATAAGATTTAGTCGACTAAATCGACTAAGCATAGTAATTTACATATAAATTTTTAAGTCGACTAAATCAATTCCTATCCCTAGATTGGGACCTACGAATGCCGAACGACTCCCTTCAGCAAGCCCAAAAAACCTGTAAGATCCAAGCCCTCATTGAATTAATGACACAAATCCTGTAGAAAGAAAAGCCACCAATCTGATTTGGTTTGGCAGGTGTCAAGGTAATATTACCTTGTAAGGATATGTATGTGGCCGTGGCATATGGCGTGATTGTGTCGATGGGAAGGAATATACCAGAGTAACGAAAGGGCCTGAAAGTTTTCCTCAAACCCTCCCTCCGTAAAAATAGTATAAAAGCCCTTCAGCTTTAGAAGAGGAAGTGAGGGTGGTTCTTAAGAAATAATAAAAGCCCAATTCGCCCATAAAATAACCATCTAAGGAGGTTCGTAACTCACATCGTTCCCGTGCAACTTATTCAATCCCAGCCTTAAACCGCCAAATCGTTCCCGCCTCTAAACCGTTGAGTAACTTTGCATGGTGTCTTTCTTTTGTTTCGTGCGTGTTGTCAGTTTAACCCCTGGCACTATGAATTATCTTCTACATATTATAAAAAAGCTTTTCCTTGCAAAAGTTTGGTATAGATAAAATCGTCTAACCCTAACATACTTGCAATACCCTAATCCTAACATGATAACGTAATGTTTTTTCTTAGCGAATTTTTTTTCTTGGCTTTGCAATAAGATTACAATATGTGCGAAATTTTTTGGACTGATATTACTAGTTATAATGTTATCCATTGATTATATAACAGAGGTAAAATCCGATTACTTATCGTAATTTATTATCCTCTCAAAAAGACAATGTTACCGAACGAATGCCTTTTCGTAATAATTAATGACTTTCAAAATGATTATAAAAGCTATTTTCATACCTTCTTGTAAACCCTCAATGAGGTAGAATCATTATACCAATATTATGGAGTAAACCCACAATTTATTTCGACGATAAAAAAACTTATAAGAATATCATCTTTTAGCATTAAATCCTGAAGAACAAGCTTTATTGATTCTCTTTAAAATTATTCTTCCAAATTATCCAAAGCTATTATTTCAGTACGAAACCTATACTACATTCGCTAGTTCTTGTTTGGATAATGGCGTTGTTACACCGAACTACCTCTTTACAAGCGCGGGTTTATTTAAGACATTAATAAGTATGAACGATAATAATTGAATGTCTTACGGCGTTTTGTCCTAAATGTATATAGTTTTATACCAGTATCTTGTATTGATGTTCAATTATGAAAGAGGCAAATGGGTAAATGTATATGAAGATACAAGAAAATTTATAACAGATTACTAAACAGGTCAGTATTTGATCGAGATTCCCTTTACGATATCACATGATCATATTCTTACTGAGAATAATTTAAAATTTACCGTGTATGAAGACATGAGATATTATTTTATTAATAGAAAAGGAAGAATTCGAATATATAATGGCAAAGTCTTTGTTTATAAAGGCAAATTGAGCCTTTTATACGTGTTTTCAAAGATAGGGAATTAAATACTATACCTTTTACAATTGATACTGCTCTTATCTGATGCTATTCTAATATCTTTACTATGAAAATAAGTTTATACAGCATATTTTAGGATGAAATACTATAATGCAGTATAGGGTTATTCACATATGATTTTCGGATCATTGAATTATCTATGGATACTTTCATGAATTACAAGCAGCATACGTATGATCTGTTGATTGTACATGCATTACAATCATTAGCAGTAATGATTTATAATTTTTGGGTTCAATGATCATTTCCATGGTAAGAGGATCAGGTGTGTTTTAAATGTCATAATTTCTTTTTACTTAATTTCAAGTTTTATGAGAATTCTTTAGGTTTTATAAGTTCTTCTCCTAGTACCTTTTTAGTAGTAATACATTTTGTAGTACATTTATAATTTAATTTTTAATTATTTCTATTTTGTAGACATCTGTTGCAATATGATTATGAATATAATATAGTTTTAATTATTTTAGTAAAAACTTATCCAAAAGTTGTTTATATTGTATTACATTAAACAAGAGAATTTTATCCTTTTTTAGAATATTTATCAAACTTTTTTAGGTTTTCTGTTAATAAAATTTTTATTATTTTTGTACTTGATTAATATTTTTTTTTAACAATTTCTTATCATTCAAGTAGATCATTAACTAATACATTTATTTAATCTATTATATTTTCTTTTTAAGTTTAAAATTTCAAAATTTTGTATTTTTTATATAAATAAAATAATATAATATAATCTTTATTATAGATTGTCTTAAAGTTTAATAAACAAACAATACAAAAATATATCTTATTCTTGATCTTTATTTATTAATTTTACTAAAAATTTACACAAAGTATAGTTAAATCTTTTCACATGTCAATTTATTTATAGGTAATATAAGGTTAATAAAATGTTTGATTTCCAATTTTCGCATTAAGTTTTTGTTAATTCATTATTAAAATGGTTTCTCAATCTAATATTATATAGAAGGGTATTCATGTAGAATATAATTTTCTGGTAACTGAAATCAACAGTGTTTTGAATAGTAGCATTAATTACAGCCTTAGTCTCAAATAATTTTGTTATATAAACAGTTATGATTATAATATATCAATTTTCTCTAGTTGTTTAATCTAACGGTCTTATAAAATCTATGTTGTTTTTGTGAAATGAGATTTCAACAGAAGTTGAATGCAGAGGTTTTCTATTTCTATATTTTCTATATAATTGACATCCATCACATGCTTTAACATATTCCTTTATATTTTCACACATTTTCAATTAGTAGTACAGGTTCTTTATTTTTCAAACATCTTTTAAATCCTGAGATGAGCCTCAATCAGGTGATTATACATCAGGTAGAGTATCATTACTATTTCTTCTTATCAAACTACTTGGATTAATTGGTTTATAATATTCTTTCAATGATTTCTTTTATACAAGTCATTGTAGGTAATAAAAAAATTGGCTTTACGATTCTAATTGTTTTCCTTTCCCAATTTTAAAATAAGGCGGACATTAGCTGTTTCTAAAAAAATTTAAACTGATTGTATTTTATAAAATCCTTTTTTTTAAAAAAAAAAATTAAAAAAGCCAAAATCAAATTTTTTTTCGTAATTATTATGAACAAAAGAAATTATTTATTCTTAGCGTAATTATTGTATACATGAACAAAAAACCCACACAAATGAATATATGTTTAAATAAAAAAAAAGTAATTATTAAATTAAAGAAATCTATTAAACTACAGCTGTCTTCTTTGCTTTCCCTTTCCCTTTCACTTTCACTTTCACTTTCCCTTTCCCTTTTCCTTTCCTTGATTATTATTATTAGTATTACCTCATTTAGATTCAATCCTGATGCAATCATCTTGAGAACCACGCACAGCAACAGGCATAAGAACACATTGATGACTTTCCGAACTGACCATAGTGCAAATTCTATATTGACCCGGCGGTATGCCATTTGGGACTTGAACAGCCAAATTTCCGCTGCCATCGGCTTTATCATTTATTCCTTTGAAGAATGCAGTTAATTGTGGATCAGGGGGATTGTTACCACTAATTAATTGGATGGTAATATGAATATGCCCGTTAATCAAACCATTTTCACCAAGAGATTGAGAAAGAGTATAATACTGTTTAGCAGCATCAGCGAAAAAGCCGGTATTGAGACCGGTAGTTTTTGTTGTAACATTGAATGGTTGATTTGCAGTAATAGTCTGACCGTTTTGTGGTGATAATATGAGAGTGGAGATCATGTTGTTTTTTGTTGGAATCTCACCCAATTGAGTAATAACACAAGTACCATCTGGATTTTGAGTTCCATTACCAGTTACTAGTTTAGTATCCTGGCAAGTAGCTCCGGTAAGGGTGGCATGGGTCGAAGTCGTTAAGAACCATAATACGGAAATAAATAGGGTGATAAATCTGATTTTGAAGCCCATCATTTTTATTATTAATAGATTACTTTATTTTATTTATTTTCTTGTTATTCTTTTTCTGAGGGGATATTATTTTATTAATAAATATAATATAATAAAGAAAAAATGAGAATTCGAAATATAACAAGGTGAGGTCTCTGTTTACAAAGGAAAAAAGTAAGGTCTTTTATACATGTTTTCAAAGATGGGGAATTACAATACTATAATTTTTACGATTGATAATGCTCTTACCTAACGCTATTCTAATACATTTACTATGAAAACGAGTTCATACTAATGTCCAAATCGTTAGTTGAAAACCAACTGTTGACACAACTTTCCAAATAATCAATTTAAACAACAAGTTTATTAAATAATCAACTAGTTAAATTCCGAGATATTCCATCTATTTGGACTGGTTCGTGTTGATTAGTTTGATTGGCCAATCAACAAATTTAGTCACATGATAGGAAAAATTGATTAGTTGCAACTATATGATCGATTGGAAAAATTTTTACCAAGTTCATACAGCATATAGCGGGATAAAATACTATAACACGGTATAGGGATATTCGCATACGATCCTCTGGATCGTCGAATTATCTATGGGCACCTTCACGAATCACGGGTGGCATTCATATGTAGTGATGGACCGTTAATGTTACACCAAGTGAAGGATTACATCTATCACATATAAATACTAGGCTAGGTGCGCGACGTAGTCGCGCTAAAACCAGGAATGTTGTATGATCATATAATAGCAAGGCTAAAGTTTAAATTTTAGCAAATGTGCATTTTGGATTATTGTATGTATATTGCGTAAAAGAGGTAAATGATGTGTTTGATTTATAAGTTGTATATTTAATTATTATTATTGTATAGGTATTATTATTGTGATTATTATTTTATGTATCATGCACATTTAATAAATATGTATTTATTGACATTTGTATATATGCGTGATTGGAATAGAATTTATTTTTTATAGGATTTTTATTTGGTTAAAAGTTAAAGGTTAAAACGTCATGTTTTGAAGATGATTATTTTAGATAGCTTTGTGGGTTTACAGTTAAAATGAGTTTAGTAAAATGTAGAAAAAGGGTATCAATATATACGATTAATTATGAATAATTGTAGAAAATTAGTTTAGAAGGATAATTATTATGTAGTAAGACATCATTCTAGATACATACTACGAAGATCTTACATTATGATATTGATATCCAATCAAATGAGTGAAAACCTGTAAATCATCTCACTCTATGAGTGAAATGATTTACAAGTTTTCCCTTTTCGTCACTTATATGATTCTGATATCCAATCAAATGTAAGATTTTGTTTACACGCCATTCCAGATGGCAGGAAACAATACACTCCGTATTGCAAGCATACTCCGTTCCTGGTATTTTCAATTTAACTGATCATCCCGTGTAAACGACGAGGTGAGGGATTATATCCATAACATACATTTTAGAGTAAACTCAATAAGGTAGCTGTTACGCAAAACCAGGAACGGAAGGTTATATTGTAATTCATACAGTTAATTTATTGATATTTATCAAATAAAGAACCCAATTTGTTAGATTTAAATTTTCAATTTTATTGGGTAAGGTTAAACCAATTTGATTTAGTGATTTTAATTAGCCTATTTTGCTATTCTTTTAGTAAAAAAAAATTTAGAATATATATGATTTTCTGAATAATTCTAAAAAAAACTGAAAGGTGAGCAAAGTTAGGTGGATCTTTTTTGGTTGAAAAAAAAATTTGATAAAATTTCTCATATAAGCAATCATTTTCTTTCTTTTAAGAAAGGAATGTAAATCAATAAATTGATCTTATCTAACATTTTATTATTATCTTTTTTATATTTTAGTTTTATATTTTTATCTGATTATTTATTTTTAGCTTAGTTTAGTATCTTAAATATGATAAAATGACAAATAATTATTATAGGTATATAGTAAATTGTACAAAAGTGCAAATTAGGACAGTCATGTGGAACTCATAATAGTATGTATAGTTTTAAAAGAAAAAATTATTTTGAAACAAAGCTAATTTTCTATAACTACACAAGAAAAAAGAATAATGCTCATACTTGTTCTAATCATCAGAAAAGTTTTTAAAGATGTTATATATTATTAGTAATTTTTAGATTATTATTGATATATAGCACTTCTGTTGGGTATTATTGTTAGTGAATACTAACATATATAACAAAAAATTGTTACTAATCGATAATAATTATAATTATTTATAATCATTATATATTAATAATTGTTATATATTAATAGTAATATATTGATTAATATATAGCAACTAATAGATATATATCAATTATTTTTAATCAATATATATTGATTAAATGCTATATATTGATACAAATCTACTTAAAAATTTTTATCTACAAATTTTATATTACAGTATCTTAAATATACTATATGCACTGAATGTAAAGAAGATCAGTTCTATTTGCACATAGATTCTAAAATTTTTTATTATATTTGGGTCATATTTATAATTTCATTAATTACGTAAAATGCATTAAGCAATAGGTTCTTTGTTGTAAATCTGTTTTGTAAGAATTTTTCTAGAATTTTGTCACATTTTTTTAATTAATTTTTTTATTGTTTTTTTAGATAAATTTTTTTTAAAAAAATTAATTTTAATAGTTTGAATAATGACCAATAATAAAATATACTGTTTTGTTGAAAACTAATAATGCTTATTTTGATTAAATTTTTAAATAAGAATTTTATTAAGTAATTGTAATATTCTAAACTCTGATTAATAACATTATTATATATATAATAATAAGAATACCATATAAATTATGTTATTACAAAGGTTTAAAATAGCATTATTTAGATTTTCAGTATACATTATACTAAATTTAGATTAAAATTCATGTTTTTCTCTTTTAGAATTATTTTATTAATTTATAATACTTGTTATTTTAGCTATTCAAATATTACAAAACTAAGTCTTGTAAATCTTATCTAATAGAACTTATATTTTTAACTTTGTATTAACATTATTAAAATTAATCTATATTTATTAATTTAGTTTTTTTAATATGATATACCAGAAATGAAGTATGAAGCATATAAGATATGATTTATTAGTAAGTAAAATGGTGTATATAATTTTTACTATATGATTGTATAATTTATTATTTTAACTTTATGAAATATCTTAAACAATACTTTAATAGATAAAGCTAAAAACAAATACTTATATAAATAAAATCTTAAAATATATTTATCTATAACTTATTTATTATTTAATATTTATTCTTTATATATCTGTTTAGAGTTAGGATTATGTTTATTAACTTTATAAAAAAACTTATAAATAAAATATACATCTGTAAAATCAAAGATGTAATAACAAACAATAATAAAAAATAAATTTTTAAACACAAAATTAGTGATTCAATATAAATTTAAAGACCTTAATATTAAATATTTATTAAAATAATAAAGTAATGGCTACTAATCATCTGAAACTTAATTAAAAAATATTTTATTAATTATTTTTAAATATATAATTATACTAAATTATGTTATATAGATTTTACAAAACTTTAAAATTTTGAGTTAAATTTATTAGAACTGAGTAATACAAAATTATTAGTTAAATATTGATTTTATTAATAGGTTTTTATACTTAGTTACTAAAATTCAAACAAATATTCAAATTGCAAATACTATTAACTTTTTTTATAAAAAGACATTTTTTTATATTAAAAATAAATTACAATATAGAATATAAGTTACCAGTAACTAAAATAATATTTGTATAGATTTTCTGTTTTTTTTTTTTTTTTTTTCGGTATTAAGGTGACCTCTTTGGTCCGAGCTTTTTATTAATACTTATAGCGGGTACAT